CTACTACTACTACTACTACTACTACTACTACTACTACTACTACTACTACTACTACTACTACTACTACTAATAATAATAATAATAATAACAATAACAATAAAATAGAGTTTAGATTTAAAGAAAATATAAATAAGAAAAAAAAACATTTATTAACAAACAATTATACATTTACCTATTGAGAACACGTTTTACTCTAAACGTTAAATAAGTAATCCGATAAATGCTAAATTAACTTTACTAATTACTTTATAGATACGTCTATCAGTAATAATGAAGCATATAAACTAAAGGTATTTTAAATATTACATCGACTACGGGTCGTCTTTGCTAGATTTTGTTAATTTGTACCGTAAATATACATAAACATAAACATATTATATTATTATTTTTTTTTTTTTAGTAAATCAACCCTAAGGTTGGTTTTGCAATTTTCCGAAATTTCTCCATTCATCTCTATTTTCAGCTAGCCTCTTCAGCTCCTTATAGTTTGCTAGACCCGCATCGGAAATCATCCTTTTGATATAAGACGTTGAATATAGAACCCTGAGTCTGATGATACACTCGGCTAAAATTCTAGTAAAAATAATAGGTAACCGGATAGAACATAAAATTGAAAGGCAATTAAGTAATGATCAATTCGGATTTAGAAGAAACAAGGGTACTAGAGAATCGATATTAAGCCTAAGGACATTAATTGAAAAACAGATCGAATTTAACAACGATACATTTACCGCATTTATCGATCTGGAAAAGGCATTTAACACAGTTCCCTGGAAAGAACTTTTTAAGACATTGGAAGAAATAGACATTGATTATAGAGACAGACAATTAATATACAACATAAACAAAGAGCAATTATATTATTATGACCAATTAATAATTAAAACAAAAAAGTGCACAATAATGTATAATAAAATGTACGATTCCGATACGACAGCGGATTGACAAGAACATCGATACGACAAGGAATCAAAATAAAAGATAACGAATTTGATTAATAATAATTAATAATAATTCAAAAATATTAAATTGCTTGATGGAGGAAAAATAGAGCGAAGAGAAGTGAAGGTCGCGGCGTCGTGTTGATTATTCCGCAATAGCCAATAATAACAACACGACTGTGCGCCGAGATGAGTTTTTGGCGCCGACAGCGATATTAACTTATAAGTTAATACAAATAATATATGATATAAATATATACTATTATAATACCAAATAAAATATTAATAATATAGTAATGAAATGTTTTCGGCAAGAATTAAATTAACGTACCTTAATACTAAGTACCTACTAACAGTAAAATAAATTACTTTACGATATTAAAAAACTTATTATCATGAAATATACTAAGTGGTGATTTTGTCTATAAAATTATATATTTATCATTGAATTCAAATTTAATATCCATTAGAGCGACTCACTTGACGCCTACTGGTTAGTAGGCTGTATTCACTTGTACACATTTTATAATCTAAAAATTAATTATGTGCCAATAGAGTACTATATTTTTATTATTGAATGTTTTTATGAAACATGGATAATGATAAAAGTTTTGAAATACAAATATCATTATCTACACAATGATGAATCAACAAGAAACTTAGTAGAATACACAAAGTTAATACCATAGAATGAGTCGATTACAATAAGGATATTTCAATATTAATACATTTGCCGTGTACGTATTAACTATTAAATATTATAATTGTAATTAATAAATAATAAGTAGAATAATTTTAAATTATATTTTATTTTTTACTATGTAAGTAAATTATATTATCTCAATATTTGATACACCGAAATTTCTTTTAAATTAAATATTTGAACTTAAATTTATTTTATACATTGTTTAATCTGGTTGTCATTAATTATATTTCAATGTTGAAACTATAAATTACTTTATTAACTACTCTAATTTTAGTCACTATTATTTATGACTTAAAATAATTTTTACTTAATTTTTATATACAAATAATCTAGACGGATATTAATGAGTTAATAAGTTCAGTTAAGCTTCGCTTAAATTACTTTTAAGTTTTAATTAAGTTATAAAATTAGTTCCTTTTTTTTTTATAGTAACTTATAATTTAACAAGTTTAATATTTTAATTTATATTCAGTCACTATTCAATCAACTTATTACGGATAGATTAAAATATTTTATAGTAATTAGTTATTAAAAATGTACATCCAAATTATGCATGGATTCGGAAATAAAATATTGGATAGTCATTGAATTTATTGTTAACTAGGTACTTAACTGAATACAAGGTCTAATCTCACTTCTTAAAGTTGGTTGCAGGTAAAAATAGCTTTATAATTTACTATCTTTTATGATAAAATTATGTAATAATGTTGTCAATTACTAAATTAAATGTTTTTCATAAAGTTTATAAGTTTACCTTTTGTATTTAGATACGAGTAATATATAAATATATATTAGAATTATGTACTTAAATTTAATACAATATACTTATATACCTACTTTATGTTTAATTTATCTAACAACAAGCTTCAAATAGTCTAAAGATAATACTAAAAAGTCAACATGTGATGTAAAGATATTTGTCTTTAGTCAAAGAAATCGAACATTGATATTTTTAAGTTTTTATTTAAGGTTTCACTCAGTTATAGTTTATCATTATTATTGTTAGTAATAACATTATATTATTATAATATTTATACTTAAGTATAAAATTTAAATATATAAAAAAAAAAAAAAAATCTTATCTGGGAATTTGAAAATATTTTTTATCTTACATAATATAGGTTAGGATACATAATATATTTTAACTTTTAACATTTTATGCATAGCCGCATAAGACAATAATGTGTTTATAGCCAGTAATATATGATTACTAACGTTTGTTTACCTCAAATTAGGTGATCTTGATGGGCCTCACAGATTGTTTTATATTGAAATGAACAAAATGGTCTTTCTAACAATAAAATTGTTTAAAAACTGTTTTATGTGGAGTTCAACAAAAGGCATCGTATTTAGTGTTTTATTCATATGAAA